GAACCTAATGCGCAGCACTGAACACACACACACCCAGACACACACACATTGACCTTAGACGTCGCTGCCTAGCCCCCTGCTGCCGTCCACCGTGTGCCACCATCCCATGCTGTCTGACCGTATGCGCTGTGGGCGTCGATTTTCTGCATGGGATCGAGAGTGTCTGGCAGGTACCGCCAGACAAACAGGGTGCCCTTGTGGTTGGCCGCGGCCGCCAGCCGCCCGTCGGCCGACAGCGCGACGGTCTTGATGGCCACGGCCTTGTCTGGCGCGAGCACCTGGCGGATGCGGTTGGCACTGAGGTCCCAGACCTGCACGCGGCCCTCCTGGTCGCCCAGCAGCACCTCTGCTTGGTTGGCATGCAGCGCCGCCCCGTGGACAGGCACCGGCGCGCCGGCCGTGGTGGCCATGGTGGCCGTGGAGGTGCTCTCGTTGTCGAGTGAGAGCTGGTAGCCGGTGCCGCGGCAGTCCCAGATCTTGACGCTGCTGTCCTCGCTGGACGAGAAGAACCAGCGGCCGGTCTTTTCCAACCCGACGCTCGTAACGTTGCTGGTGTGTCCGTCCATGGTGCTGACGGCCGTGTTGCTGGCGGATGCCAGGTCGAAGAGCTTCATGAGGGGGTTGCCGGCGCAGAGCACCTGGGTCTTGTCCGGGGTGACCTCCAGGCAGTTGATGTGTGAGTCATTGTAGGGGATGGTGCGGAAACACTGACCCAGGTGGGCATTCCAGTAGCGAAGGGTGTGGTCGTATCCGCCGGTTATCAGCAGAGGCAGATCCATGAGTCGAATGAGTCTGTCAGCGGTGGCACCCGTCATAGATGCAGCCGCTTCGACAGCGAAATGTCGGCGTCATCGTTAGTATACCTCTTCGGTTCTTCAGTATCCAATGAGGGAAGATAGGGACGATGCTGGTCAGGCAAAATTGCTCGACCCCTTCTTTTTGCCTGATCGGTTTAACGCAGTACCCCGCGCGCAACGGCCAACGGATTTTTTTTTTTGGCGATGCCGGGGAGCTTGAAGGGCGAGGCCACAGCGCCCTCCAAGTGGTGGCTGCTGCAGGTCGTGGCCAACGCCACGTTCGGATCTTTTCAGGTGAGGCCAGCTCAATGAATGAGTGTGTGACACTCATTTGCTTGTCTGCTGCTCGATCTGGTCCTTGCCCCTTCTCAGTTTGGCTACAACCTGGCTGTCCTCAACACGTGTCTGAAGATGGTGGGCGGGGAGGGAGCAATAGAGTAGAAGCAGCTCACCACATGTGTTTGTGTCGTTGCCGTTTTGTCTGTTCTTCTTCAGGTCGTGCTGCTGATGCGATGGTGCGGCGAAGACCAGCTGACAACAGGTAATTAAGTCGGTCACTCAACTACCAGAACTGCAAATGTGGGTGGGCAAATGTGTCGTCATTTGTCGTCAGAGTGCGATGCCGCCCGCAATCGTGACGGTGCCATCACCGTAGGGGTCTTCGTTGGCGCAGGTCAGAAGGGCACATACAGGAGCAGACAAGCGTGTATGCTTTCCTTGTTTCTGCAGCTGTGGGTTGCCTGCTGGGCGGCAAGTGGATGCACCGTGGCCGAAGGAGGACCCTGATGATGGCCCACCTCCTCTTCATTGTGGGGTCGTTGCTGTCAGCCGCGTCCGTCGACTTTGTGATGCTGCTGGTGTCCCGCGTCATTGTGGGTGTCGGTGTTGGCGTGGCGACCGTCGCTGTGCCCATGTACATATCTGAGGTCACCCCCGCCGAGAAACGGGGCGCTTACGGGTAGGGCAAGGGAGAGAGAGAGAGAGGGAGGGAGGGAAGTGGTCAATGCCTGGCTCTTCTCTGCCTGTGTGTGTGTCTGGCAGCACGATGAATCAGCTGCTGATCACTGTGGGCATCATGGTGGCCATCGTTCTCGGCAACGTCCAGCGCAACGATCCCCAGCACTGGCCATCGCCCGACACGGTCCCAACACGCGAGGCCATCTGGTGGCGCTTCATGCTCGGCTTCAGCGCCCTGCCCTCCATCGTCTCACTCTCCCTATTCCTCTTCGTGTTCCCCTTCGAGACGCCCCACTTCCTGGTGGAGGAGGGAAAGGCCGACCAGGCCCTGCCCATCCTCGAGAGAATGTACTGCACGTCGGGCGAGACCGATGCCGAGGCCCAGACCGCCCAGGCGAAGTTGGACGACATTCAGCGAAACGTGCAGGAGCGCAGAGCGTCCGAGAAGAGGACAGTAGGGCTGTTCAAGGCCTTCCGCGACCCTTGGTACCGTTACGTCCTGCTGGTGGGTTGGGTGCTGTCCGCCTTTCAGCAGCTGAGCGGCATGAATGCCTTCATCGCAGCGTCTAATCACATCTTCGAGCAGGCGGGCTTCACGGGCGGCCGGGCCACCCTGCTGTCGACGTGCATGGGCGTCATGAACGTCATCCTCACCCTGGTGACTGTCAAAGCCATCGACTGGGCGGGGAGGAGGAAGCTCATGCTGATCGGCACCCTTGGCCAGTTCGTCGCCACCGCCCCGACGGCCGTGGTGCTGCTGATCGGGTCGGGCGCCGTGAGTGAGGGCGTCATGATATGGCTGCCAGTGGCCTCGGTGTTCGGCTACGTGGTGTTCTTCGCCATTGCGTACGGGCCGGTGCTGTGGGTGTATCTCAATGAGATATACCCGGTGGAGATCAAGGGTCCTGCTGTGGGGAGTGCATCGGCACTCAACTGGGTGGCGTGTATTGCGGTGGTCTTCCTGACCAAAGTGCTCAACAACACACTCATCTTCTCCATCTCCTCATGTACATAAGCACACATACACACCGACCCACACGTGCCTCCATGATGCCATCCCTCTCTCTCCCCTCTGTGTGAGTCTGCAGGCTGCAGTCTCTTCGCGTGTGTGTTCGTCTTCGTGTTTATGTTGGAGACCAGCGGCGTCTCCATCGACGAGTCTCCCTACCTCAAGGGCCGCCCATCCGACTCCACTGCTGCCAGCAAGGCCAAGATCGACTCCCTCAGTGCCAAGCAGTCCACTGCCAAAAACATCCCAGCATCGGACGGCGACAGCATGCCCGCCCAGCCGTGTGGTGGGCTGGGCATTGCGCACCCCGACTCAGCCAGCAGCCGAGAGGGTGACTTGGTTGTACTGTCCTCATCCGTCGGTGTCTCGACGGGCGACTGCTAGATGGGGGAAAGCTGTCGGTTTCTAGTTAGGGAGGGGGGAGAGGGGACAGCGCCATGCAATTGCTGGACAGTTTGTCGTTGTGCAGATAAGCGCGTATGTGACGTATGTGACACAACCACTCCACTCCACTCGCTGAGCTGCCTCTCTGGCCACAACGACGATCGCAATCAATCTCACTGTCTGTGTCTATGTGTCGGCTACACACATAAGGGGAGGGAGGGTGCATGTTGTGTCTTCGCTGTCCAGTGGTCCTTCATATGAGGTCGAGAGCCGTGCACACGGCGGCGAGAGCGGGTGCATTGTCGTGTTTGTAGTGTTTCGCGCGTGTGTGATGTGAGGCTGACAGTGAGGACCTGGGACCCCGAGACACACACACACACGTGTACCACACATATTTGGGCAGAGAGCCTGCCAGCCAGCCTTCATCAGTCGACCAATGGATGGACCAATCCTCCGTCGAGTCGACCTTGTTATGTGATTGATTTGTGCCCGTGCGTGTTCACGTCAGTCAGGGATTCACGTTCATGCGACGCGACACCGATCAGGGATGAATGGAATGGATCGGTGGGTAGGGGATTTTGTCTGTTTCTTGTGAGGGCTTTAGTCAACGGAAGAAGGAGGGAGGGAGAGAGGGACAGTGCAATCACTGGACTGTTTAGTACGTCGCTCTACCACCACTGAGCTGCCTGCCTGCCTGCCTGCCTGGCCACAGTTGACGACTGCAACCTCGCTGTCTATGTGTGTGTGTATGCGTATGGGATGGAGCGAGGGGTGCATACGTCATCCATCGTACATTAGACACAGATGGGGAGACAGAGACACACACGACCGGAGAGCTATGTCATTGGTGACAGGTCGTGGATTGGGGGGTAGGGGGGTGGGTGGGGGAAGGCATGGAGCGTATGTGTGTGGCACAGCGTCCATGCCTCTGGTCTCTGATTTATCAACACTAGGTCGAGTTTTGCTGTCGACTTTCCCCCACGTCAGTAAGTGCCATTGTGCTTAGAGTGTGTGAATCGTTGTATGCCGAGACTTCGATGGATGGATTCCTTGACGCGACAAGAGAAGCAGACACAGGCTAGGTAGGGGGTTTCTCGCATGGATGGATGGCTGTCAGACACAACTACAACTACCTGGCTGGCTACAAGGACGCACTGACGCACGCATCGATATCACCACCGTCTGTCTGCTTGGTCCCGTCTCTTGGTTTCTTTCTCACGCAACGCAGTGGCACAGCGAGGGCAGGATCTGCTCGTGCAGCGTCCGCCAGCCCACCTGCCTCACACGCCACTGCCGTCCCCTCCTCCTGGCCCTTCTTCGTGGAAACCCTCTTCTCCGCCTCACGCCTATCCCCCTCCGTGCTGTGGCCATTCTCACAGGGGGACGATATAGCCCGTTTCTCACGTCAGTCCGCCACATGCACTGCACGTGAGCGGCCGTCACGTGATGCACCTGAAGAGTGGAAAGAAAGAGGCATGATGCATGTTCGTGTGTGTCTGTAGTCTCCTGTGCGATAGATAAAGCATACCATCCACGTGTTGTTTTGTATCGGTGCCCACGGACTGCCGCATTTAGGCTCGAACGCCATGCGCGTCCGATCCCTGTCGTCCAGCTGCAGGAAGGAACAAAGGACAGAGAGAACAGCAGATAGCAGCGTGCCGATCGTCCTTGAATGTGTGGGCGAGGACCTGACCTGCAGGCCCGTTTTGTTGTGCTTGAAAACGAGAGTCCACAGCCACAGCCCAATCGTGATGTCGTCGTACTGCAGCAGCGGGTAGGAGCTATCACTGCTGCCCGCCTCCACCAGCAGGCCGACAATGTCTCGTGAGAGGGCAAAGCACGGCCCCAGGGCGAAAGGCGGATAAACATCACGCGGCTCGGGAAAGGCCTGTGTATGTGGCAGGGCAGAGTGGGAAAAGCGTGTGACCAGCAGTCTATCTGCTTTGCTCACGTCTAGAGTGATGTTGTTTTCGGAGCTGGGCTTGCGCACGACATGCGAGCCGTACTCGATGAACCTGACACACACACACACAGAAATGGAGACGAGACGACTATTTGTCGCTGTCTCGCTTGGTGTCTTACCCCCATAAGTACTCGGCCCTCGGCGAATGCTGTAGCCGCTCGAGCAGATACAGCGGGCGAAGATACACATCGTCGTCAACTATGGTGAGGTACGACCAATGCCCGCTTCCGACCTTGCCCCTGGTGCCACGATTGACCTCTCGAAAGACCACCATCTGCCCGTTGTGTGGGCTCTCAGCCTCGCTGATCGACTTGACGTAATCGGCGGACCCCATATGGACGTATCTAAGGATCTCGATGGTCTTCCTTGTCACGTGCCACTCATAGCCATCGTTCGCCCACACCATAACGATATCGCGGTGCTGCCGCTGCTCCTCCAAAAGCATGCTGGCCTCATCCGTTGTCGCATTGGCGGATGATGTGTCGTTGGTCAGGCCGACGAAGAAGATCAACCGAGAGTTTTTGAGAGAAGCCTTGCCCACGATGCCACGGAACAGCCGACCCCATGACATCCGAATAGCATCTCGACGCCCTCTGTGTCCCACCGCCGACTTCACTGCGAATATCGCCAGGTGCCGATCAGCCCCCATCGCCCTCTCTTCACACAAGGCCGTGGCGTGTCTCATGAGCCGCTCGTGGTGCGACAGACGGTAGCGGTAGCGCATCAGCAGCGACACCATGTGAGCGGCATTCCTCCTCGCCCACACGTGGTGGGGGCTAAGCTGAGAGCCCAGGTATACGATGGCCCTGTCAGGCCTGAAGTTTTCGATGGGCATCACGGCAAACGGTAGGAAGAAGCTGATTTGTTTGAGGGATAGGAAGTCGTGGTTGCCGTCGACCAGAGGAATGCCTCCATACATGATGCATGTGATGAAAGCTGGGAGGAGGGCGTGGGAGCGGGAATCGCCTCTGCCGGGCAGCAAGAAGCTGAACACTGCCTTGGAAAGAAACAAAAACAGACACAGAATACACATAAGACAGAGAAAGACTCTCTGTTTCAACCCTTACCGTATCTCTGGCAGGCTTCTCTGAGGCTATCCGAGCGTGCTAGTGAGCTGCCAGCCTCCGCCACATACACGGCACCAGGCATGACCACAATGGATGCCTCTACAATCTGATGTGCATCGAGACCTTCCCGTACTGCAATGGTCGCTCGCGCCGATGCTGGTGCTGAGGCCTTCACTGGCACCAACAACGACAGAACCTGGGTCCTGTTGCCATCAAATATGACGCCGCTCCTGCTGGTGTCGAACGCATCCAGCATCTTGAACAGACCTGGCTTCGTGTGGGTGAGAGAGGTCGGGACGAATGGCTTCTCGAGATAGTACAGCCGCTTTGCCCCGTCGAAGGCCATGAACGGCACCAGGGCGGGGCGCTCCGTCAGGACTGCATCGAATTGAAGATGCTGGGCCATCGCATCTCCAAAGCGGTCCACGAGAATGCGGCATGATGTGGGTGAAGCCGACGGATGGCTGACATTGCCGAGAGGACGAAGTGAGCCGTCCGGTGTGATCAATGAGAGGTCGATTGATGGCGCAGCGGCTGCAGCCGCGAGGAAACAAGCGATAAATCGATGCATGGGAGGGTGTCTACAGA